CGCGACCAGTGGTGCCGGATTTTACAACAACGAGGACCAGAGCAAAAATAACGTAACAGGGGCGATGGATCAGTACCAGATCCTGCATGGCCAACCGTCTTCTAGAATGAACAAATACAACTACGACTTCATGGTGCACACAGCTTCGGATTTGCATCAAATGTCGATGGAGCTGGGCCATGAGAAGAACGACTTCCTCGAAGTACTGCTAAGGACAGCTGGCGAAGCCAGCAGTTCATCGAACAATACCGGTCTTGTTCACGCGATTGCATCACAGAAAGACCGGGATGCAATTCTTGATGAGTTGCGAAAGCCGGCGGCGCACGAGAACCGTGATCAGCACGTTCCTTCTTGCTCCGTCGACACCTCTTTCGAACCGGACTTTGCACTGCGGCTAGCCGAATCCCTTTTCCTGGTCCAATATCTGCCGAACCCCCTGATTTACAACGATTTCGACGGAACGACTTCGCCCGGCTCGGTTTTGGATCGAAATTTCTACGCGCGCTGCCTGCTGTACGGGTCAGACGTGATTAAGAAGATTAAACAGGAAAAACCCCAAACGCGGAACAATCCCTGCGAAGTGGTGAACAAGTTTGTCTCCCGGATTTTGGACGACTACTACTTGGTGCAGGAGATCGTTCACGACGCACCCACCAGCAGTCAGAGACAGGCCGAAGCCGCGTCCTTCCAGTGCCGGCTGGATTCCGCCATGCCCGTGGATGTGGAGCTCAGGAGAGAATTTGAAAGAAGTTACGGCACCGAGGATGAGAGACAAAACAAGGACAACATCGAGTGCAACTTGCTGGAATCGCCGACCTACTTGATCAATCAAGCGGCCTACGTGGCGTCCAGCGAAGTGAATGTGCCCATCCTGTTGAAGCACCAGCAAAACATCTTTGACGTTTACCACCAAGACTTGCAGGCGAAGATGTTGAAGGAGCATAAGGCTGCTGCGCAAGGAGTAGATGTAGATCTTAGAGCAGCAAGTGGAAAGAACAAGCGTGCTGGTGTTCGTGGATCTGCATCTACAACTTCGGCCAACATTTTTCCTTCGAACAAACAGGCCCGCGTGTGGCCGAGCTGCAAGGACGGTGCGAGATTGCACCAAGCGCTAGATCCGGAGCTGCAAGCGGTGAAGATCACCAACGCCGAAGTATTGCGGTTTCTGCTGGAGGAAATCGCGTTGAACCTCCTGAATGTTGCCTCCAAACACGATTTTTGGACGTCCGCGTTTCTGAAATCGCAGACCACAAGCAGTACCAGCTCCAGCATGGTGGGGACGCAGACATCCGGGTACCCATTGGAGACGTTTTACCACCTGTTGTCCGTCACGCTCGCTGATCCGGATTGTATCTTGCAGGAGCAGTTGATGGCCCAGCGGGAGAACTCCCGGGGGGAAAACGCCGACCTGTTCAACGGGGGAAATGGGGAGTACGCGAGTGTATCAAATGCAAAAATGCCTGGGTCTGGAAGATTTCTAGATTTGTCATGCATATTTTCCATGACCCATGATGTCTGTGATGCATGCCGCAGCATCACAGATTTTTAGAGCGCTTTGCGATACCTCTACCGCATGAGAAACGCCCTCTCCGCGTAGCGCAAACTGGAGTCCTCTTGCTGGTCATGCAATGCAAATTTTTTCAGAATCCAGAGACAGCATTACAAGTTTAGAATGTTCCAGACACAGACACTTTTGCATTTGATAGAGTGGGTTCGGAAACAACAATGAAACCGCTGCGTCCAGTCCGGCAGATGGTGTCGCGGCTTCCAGCCCGGTTGACAAATTAGAAACGGAGAAAGAGCTGGTGGAAATCTGGAACGTTTTACCGGCGGACTTTTTTGCTGGAGAAAGAAAAGGAGAGCAGGGGATGAGCAGTGACAGTGAAGACGATCGTGCTGCTTCTATGCAGGATAAAAGGCATAATTCTGCCTCTTCGTTCAACAATATTCTCGACGAGGAGGAGCAAGATGAAGATCACGAGCAAGCAATCTTACTCGCGATAAACACCAGCTCCATCACTCGTGCCTCGCAGCAGCGGCCGTCCGCCATGTCGGCAGCGTCTAATTCCGCGAACCGAATCCAGCTCAACCAGTCGCAGTGCGTTGCCCGCGAAACCAGGATGGCTTTCTGCTTGAAGCGCCAGCTCGTGCAGATCCTGGCCGGGGGGAGATTTTCGCGTTCGGAACTCGAGGCCATTGTGCAGACGCAGTATCCAGACAGGATTTGGCAAAAAGTGTTGCCGGAAATTTCGGATTCCGTTTGGTCCTTCGACACAAAACAGCTGAAATCTACCGCCCGAGGGGGCGGCGCGGTGACCACGGCAAGCTCGCCGCAGAATGAAGACGAAGAGGTGGCGAATAAGGACGAGAAGAAATTGTACTACATGCTGAAGAAATCTTCAGGTGCCGCAGGTTCTGGTGGATCATCTGGCGACGCAAAGAACATAAACAGTTCCAGTATAGAAGTCAAACCCGCCGTATCCACAGAAAAAAACCCATCCACATCCATTTTTTGCATGACAAACACAGGACTTGGTACGTGTTTTGCATCACAAATTGGATGTGGATGGGTTTGTTTCTGTGGATACGCCGACCTCTACGACGCCGCTTACAACCAGTTTTTGATCCCGAAGCAGAAGCGCACGGAAAACTTGGTGGAACGTGCGACCGAAAATTTAACGAGGGTGAACGCCGCGATGCTGGGGCTGGACCCGAAAACCTGGTTTAGGGACTACACGCATGATGAAAATCTTCGTGATGCTGATTCTACAAATTATCCAATGGCTTCATTACTGAACAACAGCTCGTCCGAGGACGAAGAAGCCTTCCATGGAGTTGGACCAGGTGCGGAAAATAGCGCTGACGCAGCTGCACTGCTCGACCAGAACAGTACGGGTGCCTCCACACCGGTCCGGAAAAAGCGCAAGGTGTTGAAGATGATAAACCAAGAAAAGCAAGCTCGCGGCCCCGTATCGGACGATGATGTTGATGGCGACAACGACCCAATGGACGTTGATGACGTTGACTCTTCTGGAATGTTGAAAAAGACCGCAAAAACTGTCCTTCTCTCCCAGCAAACTATCTGGGAAAGCATCCGACAGAGGAGATTCAAGCTTTTGAGAGAAAGCATCTCAGGACACGTTGCAAAAACGAGCACCAGCAGCACCTCCGCGGGTGCAACAGAGCCAGCTGTTCCTTCTGAGCAACAGCCTCCATGGCCCCTGTCGGACACGAACTCCAGCTGGGCGATTCTCCTGCTCTTGGCCGCCGGGTGTCCGAACTCGGAATGTCTGCAACCGCACGTGCTCAAGCTGATCGACGCGTGTCGCCCGGCGTTTGCCGCCAATGAGCGCGTGGATTGCAATTTCCAGCGGGTTCTGGTCCACTCTCTGGCAATGGACAAGCCCGCTGGGAAGCTGAATTCCAAAGTCTGCTTGCAAACGGGAAGAAGCTTGAGTACCGGGGGGATGGTCATGAACGGTGCCAGTTTTCATCATGTTCGTCCTCACGCGGGGTCGTCCGGAGGCGGTGCAGCTTCTGCAGGCGGAAATAGATTTCCCCCGCCACCGAGCACGTCAACAACTCCAATAAACAGGTTGAATCTATTCCAACCTGGGCCCCCGCATCAAGGCGAGCCGTATCGTGACAGAGCGGGCACCGCAAGCACCGAGGGGGATCCGTCAACGTTGGAAGAGAGCCGGCAGAGGTTACGCGACCTGGTGCGGAGCACCAGGAATGGTCTCAGCTGGGAAGCAGACGAAGACGAGCTAGTACAAGGAAGTTCTTCTACCGCAGCTGCTGGTGGTCCCAACTACACGACCGGCGCAGCTTCTGCGCCACGACCACTTGGGGAGCAAGCGAGTACTTCTAGCAATGGCGCGGCTGGTTTCTTTGACCAGCAAATAAACGAGCCCAAACCTCTGCCCGCCCCGCCGAACAGCACAGGCGGGGTGGTTCGGATCGCGTGCATTCCGTTGAAGCAAAATTTGGTAGAGCAGGACCTGGTGAAGGAGTCGCAACAGCATCCGAGAGCTCCCGGAGCCGTGCGGCTCTCCACGTATCTGGAGCAACGGGAAAACGTCTTCGGAGGCATCTTGCACGACGGGAAAACAAATGAGAAAAAAAGGCTGTTGGAGGTGGCGGAGCAAGAGCAACCTAGAAGTAGAACATCTTCTTATTTTCCATCGAACGCGGAAGCGATAGTGCAACATACCTCGAATTTAGCGAGAAACGCTGCGGTAAGGAAGTTTTTTGAGCAGTTCGAAGATTGCTGTCGGGAGAAGGAAGCCGTTGCCTTTCGCTTGACCCTGTACCTGCTGATGCAGAAAAAAATGAAAGCAAAACTGGGCCGCGCATCCTCTAGTACTGCGGGAACAAGTACAACTATTAAAGGAGCTACTAGTACTAGCAGCACTGCTGGAATTACTAGTACAACAGGCGGGCGGTCTTTGATCACGAGCCACACGATGTCACAACTTCAGCAGAACGTGGTCGACAAGAAGGGGTTCACCGTGAAAGTGAGTTGCGTGAAGAGCAATCACGACCAAAACGTAAACGGTACAAGCGAGGAGGAGGACTCCGTTCGAAACATGACCTATGATGTCGACAAGGAGCACGAACACCTACGCCAGCAGCCTTATAAAAACAGTGATATCTTCGACGATGACGCAAGCACAAGCAGCGGTCCACTCCAAATCGGTGACTTGATTTTCGTAGACCATCAGTCTGACTTTGCGAGTTTTGCAGTGCAAAACCGAAAGCCACGAGCGGCGGAGGTTCATCTTGCACGTACAGCTCTATCTTCGTCGGACAGGAGCAAGAGTCAGGCTCTTCGAGGACTTGCGCAAGTGGACGAAGAGGACCACACAGTATCAACTTCCTTCACGTTCTTCGAGAACCCAAAAGTAGACTACTATACCGGCGACGGAACGACCCCGAGGACGGGCAGCTGCACCAGCGACTTTACAGGAATGACCTCCTCGTCCTCGAACAAGATGAGCATGAGCAACTTCCTTCTCCGGCCCAACGCGATCGAAGCGACCGTGTTGACCTCGCAAATTTTCTCCAACCTGTCCTTTGCCGCTCGGAGTTGCCAGGAGTACTCGGAGGTCGATGCGTTGCTCCAAAAAGCCGAGCAGTTTTTCGAGGACAATGGGTTTGACACGCTGCGGGACATCTTGGAATTCTACAACCAAGAGGAAGATGCGCAGTACTACGCTCTGGTACAACAAGCAAACGAAAATCAGGAGGAACTGGCGATGAAAGCGGGACAAGATGTCGGCACGAGGAGTGCAGGCGCTGCGGCGGGCGTAGCTCTCGGTGGAGCTGCAGGGGGTAGTACCAGTAGTAGGACGAACAAAATCTTCTCCGCTGGCACGGCAGCTGCGCAGCAAGACAGTACCTCTCGAGCCACGACTTCTATTGCCGCGGAAAACAAGAACAGGGCTTCTACGGTCGCTGCCCCAGGACTACAATGGGACGAAGAGTCCCTGCAGAAGATAAATCGCAATCGCCCTACCTCGACCTTGGGAGTGAGGGAAGAGAAGCTTTTCCGTTTCACGGTGAGGCAGCAGATCGCAGCCTACCTGAAAGGGTGGCAGATGGAGCAAATTCCCGGGGCGAAGCAGCTCTGGGACCGGTGCGGGAAGGAGTTGTTTTTCGTGCCGCAATTTTTGGACCAAAGCCAAGAGGAAGGTGCATCGTCAAAGTTGAACAAAGCGCGACATAGCAACAAGTCGTCGGTGAACGGAAGTCCAAAGGAGGAGGCGAGAGATGAAAGTAGAAAAAGGGGCGACGAAAACAATGATCGTCCAGACTTCGGTCCACAAGTGGCAGTGCCGAAAAATAATAATGGACTGACGCCGGCGGTCCCTCAGGCGGCCGTCGGAGAAGCGGGGACAAGAATTGGAGCAACGACCAGAGGACAAGATCAATCCTCTTCGGTTTCTCCATCGAAACCTCCGACAGAGCAAAAACGAACCGGGTTTCTCGGTAGTCTGTTCAATGCGGTTTTCCCTGGTGGCACTGCATCGACCGCAGCAGAATCCAACACGGGATTGAAACTCGTCGATCACAGTTCGGTAGCGACCAGCGGAACTGTTGGACCTTCTACATCGACACTATCTAGCACTTCTGCCGATCAGGTTGCGAACAGCGAAATCCAAACCACCGCGAGCGGAACTTCCGTTCCTTCATCCACAGCGGCGAGCAGTGCCTCGACTGCCGGAGCATCAACAGCACAGGCCGCTGGTGCTGCCGCTGCGTCAGGGCTTAGTACAAGAACTGTTGCGGGCGCCGGGGGTACTTCCTCGGCGTCAGCAGCTCAGGCCGGCACGGATGGTGTAGAACATAATCCCGCAGGAGCTGCTGCAAAAGTTGGGTCTAAGTCGGCCGGTGTTCTTGAGAAAGAGCAGTCGAAGAGTGCAGCAAAATCTGCGGACCAGACTCTGGAAGACAAGAAAGCCAAGGCCAAGAAGCGGCAGGAGGCCATGCTCAAGAAGATGAAACAGAAGCAAGCCAACTTCATGAATAATACCGAGACAGCGAAGCAGCAAGCGGCCTCCGGGACGAAAAATTCATCTGGTGGTGCTGGGGAAAATAAAACTGCCACAGCTCCATCTCCCCCGTCCGATGACGAGGAAGACGAGCTGACGTGCTGCATCTGTCGTGTCGGCGTGCAGACGGCGCACAAGTACAACAATTCATCTTCTGGCGGTGGACCGGAGGAGCTCCACGACGTGGCGGGATACCTCAGTCTCTTCGAAACCCGTGGCGCCGGCCCGGGCAGCTTTTTGAACAAAGAAGGAGGGTGCTTGTCTTTGACGTCATGCAACCATGTGGCGCATTTGGAATGCTTGAAGAACTACTATGCAATGCAAAAGCGTCGTACTAGTATAAATTGCATTTTTACAAATTAGCCAGGCATATACAAATTTGCAATGCTGACTTACCTTGAAAAAGAGATTTGTAAAGCCCATAAATGCAATTACTAGGACTACGATACTTTTGCACAGGATAAATACCTTCGCGAGACAAAGCCGAACGCAAACAACACGCGCACCCAGGAACTGTATTTTTATGCCCAGGAAAACAACGAGTTCGCGTGCCCTTTGTGCCGGTCCGTCTGCAACGGACTGCTACCGTTGAACGAGCCGATTTGCATGGATTGCGACGTGGGACACAACCAGGATCTTAGAAAGTTGTTCGACGAAAATTTCGCCCAGCTGACCAAAGAAACGGAGGTGCTGTTGCAAACCGGGCTCGAAGTTTCAAAGGCAAACGGATTGATAATGATGTCAACGTCTTCCTCAGCAGGTGACGTGGTTTCCAGCACGAATGCGAATGGTGAAGCCGGTACAGAAGTTGCCGCGCCGTCAGGGACAACTACAACCTCCTCCACTACACAGCAACTAGTGCCCGCCACTGCACAACACGCAGCGGCGAGTTCTTCAAGTTTCCACATCTACCCGCTCTCCTTCCAGCTGGAAAACTTGTACTTAAGATCCAAAGCGGATTCCGTAGTCTCGTGCTTCGACCCGGGGCGCAGTACTAGTAAGGGGATTCAGTACAATGCAGCTATGAGCAGTGCCCTCAATTATCCGTATCCAGATTTTGAACCAGCTGCAGGGGACCCCTTTTACAGTGCGCGACCAGGACAACATCAACAAGGTGGGGCAGCAGCACCGAAGAAAACATCCAGGCGGGGGACCAAGGACCAAGACGGCCTTCAGATGCCTGATAGTAAGGACATAAAATACCCCCTGCGAATGAACTCGCCCCTCTTCTACATGGCAGCCTCGCTGGAAATGTGGCCGCACGATATTGCGCGGAATCTCATCTTCCCCCCAGGGGAACTGGTTGACGAGGTACAGGAGCTCCCGCGAGGGGTGGAGCAAACCGCACTGCAACTAAACGGGAAGAAGTCACCCGGAGTTCTCGGAGCAGCTACGAAGAGCAGCAGTCCCCCGTACGAAGAAGTTCGGTTGTGGCACAATCGAAGACAGGAGTCCCTGCGGAAACGGCGACACTATCTGGAGTCCGGAATGATTCTCCAGTACGACCTGTCTCTCTTCCTCACCTGCCCCGACCGGTCGTGGCCGGACTGCCACCCAGAAACCGACTTCAACACGTATCTGATCCCCGAGCCCGCGAAGAAGGGGACGGCTGGGAAAAAGGTGAAGAAATCTTCGGTGAGCTACGAGGATGGCAGCTACTCGGACGCGGAAGAGAACTTGGAAGAGGCTTTGAACGAATTCGAAACCATGGTGGAGCGGGTCGCGAACGAAATGAACGTGCCGACAGCCGGGCTAACAACTGGTACCAGCACGGGAACGGACAATCAGGGCGGTGGAGCTGGAGGTGCACTGGATGGCACGTCAACACCTCTACAAGATCCCGAGTTCCCAAGTGGAGGCCAGTCCGGGGCAGCTGCGACAGGAACGATAAATAAGGCGGGTAGCCGAAAACTACAGCTGAAGCAGCTGAACACCGAAGCTGCCAGTCGAAAACGCGCCATTCGCCCCCTGTTCTACCGCCCCACGACCGCCGCCGGCACGGTCTATGTGGAGGACAACATGCCCGACCCGATGACGCGGGATGCGAAGGAGATCTATGCGTTGCACTTGCACTCCCTAACCCAGTTACCGCAGCGCCTCGAGATGCTGACGCCGTGGAACTGCCTGCACAGCTTTGTGGAAGAGTTGAAGCTCCGGATGCATGTCTTGCCCCACAGTTTGCGCGACGAAAACAGTGCCGAAAGTTCCAGCACGAGCCCTTTCTTCACGCACATTTTGCGGAATTTGTTGGGTCTCTCCAGCGCGTTGCTCTACTTCCAAACCTACTCCCCGCAGTTCGGGGCCAGGCAGAACTGGCTCAGCAATCAGAAGTTGGCGAACATTCTTTGGAAGTACCTGTACCGAGATGTGATCGCCGGGGATTTCATTGAACTAGACAGCGACGAAGATTTTTTGTCACCCGAAAACACTCTCCCACTTCGCGGATCCTCGTTGGAAAAAGAACCCAAAGCTCCGAAGTTTTTGGTCCCGAATTATTCGGAAGAGGAGTTCGAGGAACTGCGAAAGGTGGTCAACAGGTACCTCGATGGTACCACTTCAACTTCTGACGAGCAGGCTTGTTCAAAGAAGGAAAGAACGTCTTCTGCTGAGGATAGAGGCAGCAGCGGTGTTTTGGCGGTGAAAGTAGAAAATGGGAAGGATGAGGAACATCGTCCTGGTGCGGATGTTAATAACCTTCTTGACAGCAAGAAAACTCCCGATGCCGGAATATTAAATGGTCCCAATGCAGCCAAAGACGTCAACAAAAATATTGACACGACGACAGAGGCGGGAGCCAGGATACAGGAGTACCAAGCCAGATTTGATCGCGCCGATAGTTCTGGCAACTCGAATGCGGATTTTCTTGCGGCTGCTGCGCAAAACCCTCCAGTACCACTACCCCTCGCCGAGATGGCTCGGCGTCGCCAGCGTGATAATTCGCCGAGTTCCGTGAAAGCCAATCGGGGCTCCAGCTTCGAGACGGAGAGGAACGCATCAAGTACCCGAAACGACAATAAATACGACTCCGACGCCGGTGGCGACCTCGCAGCTGCACCAAGAAACGAAGATGCGGCGTGGCTAAACACCACTTCTGCGTGGCTAGACACCACTTCTCTGCCGCCGGACGGCATGTACCCACCGCCACCTCCGCCACCCGAAGCTCCTGGAAATAATAAAACCGGCACGACGCCCCCTCCGCAGTTGACAAAAACGCCCATTGCGACGATTGCGCTGAAGAAAAATATCTACGACATTCTGGTCTGGTACCCGCGCGCGCTCGAGAAGCCGGATGACTTGCGCACGTCCCGGAACAACCTGCTCAGCAGTTCTTTCACAGCGGCGGGCAGCGACGGCGTCCACAATTTGCAGAATCGCGCGCGCAACCGGTCCGGAAGTTACAGCTTTCATTTGCGGAGCCGCAAAGGTTCCGCAAGCTCGATTCGGGGGACGAACAATCCTGCCGCAGGTGGCATTGGCGCGCAGGCGGCGGCGCAGTACGATCAGGCGGTGAGGGAGAATAATCAACAGCAGCAACCCAACCGAAGGCTCTCAGGGAGGAACGCGGTTGTACCCGATCCAGAAACCGGCGCTCCCGCGACGAACAATGGCGCCGCGCCCGGTTTCGGGTTGAGTGGACTTGGGCCCAGGGGCGGGTTTTTTGTCGCGACGCCCGGCGGGCCCGGGAGCCTTCCCGGCGGAGTGCCCGGAGGAAGTTCTTCAGAGGCGGGTAACATTCACAACACCTCGAACGTCGATCCCTGGAACTTGCAAAGCCACCTATGCATTGCAAAAGTATCGTACTAGTATAAATCGCAATACAAATTTTTCCAGAAGGAAAAATAAATGGAATTTGTAATGCTGATTTCGCTAAGAAACAAGATTTGTCATGCATGCTTGCAATTAGTACGAGCACGATACTTTTGCACAGGATACCACCTGTTTGACGACGATTTCGACATGGACCAACTCCAGCCCGATCATCTATCCGAGGCCCACCTATGGATTGCAAAAATGTCTGGGTCTGGAAGAATGCGCGATTTGTCATGCAGCTTTTTCATGACCCATGAGGTCTGGAATGCAGGACCTAGCATGACAGATTCTGCGCGATCTCTCTCATGCCTATCCTGCATGAGAAACTCCCTCCCGACTTGGTCAAAACTGGACGACTTTTGGTGATCATGCAACACAGATTTTTGCATGCTTCAGATTTAGCATGACAAGTTGCATTCCTCCAGACCCAGACACTGCTACATTTGATACCACCGCGCCCACAGCGACGCCTTCTGGAAGCCCATCCGCCTGGGGAGCGAGTTTTTCCATTCCCTACCCCTCCGCGCGCAGCACTGGCTGCTGATCGACAAGGCGATGGAGGTGCTGATGGTGCACTGCGACCTGAACCTGGGGACGAACTACCTCGCCGGCACCGGGATCGGGTCCAGTTACAGCAGTGCCTACGATCACTACCTGGATTGCTTACCTGAAGACGTGCCGTTTGCTGGCCTCGGCGCGGCGGGTAGCGACTCGAAACACGACGTGCCCGATAGCCGAGTGATGAACACGATGAAACTGTTTGCTGAGTTGGTAGAAAAAGCAAGCACAAGCGGGTTCAAGAACAGCAGCGATTTGAGGGCGTTCTTACTGGAAAGAATGAAAAAGGCTTGGATAGTTGGGGGGAATATAACCGAAGCTGAGAAGGCCGCTGCTGGGCGGGAGGGAGTGAAAAGCGAAGATAGTACTAAAGTGAAAGTAGCAGTAGAAGCAGACGAACAGAAAGCGGAACATCTTCAGCAAGCGTCTTCTAGTAGTAGCAGCAGCTCAAGTAGTAGCGCAGCTGTGAAAGAAGACGTAGCCACAGTATCCGCACCACCGCGGTCTTCACCATCGAGAGAAGCAATAGAAAACAGACAAGTTCCAAGAACGACCGTCAGCGAGATCACGTTTGACACCTTTCACTCCGACCTGGTGCAGGGCATGGGCGACGATCGCCCGCTTACCTTGTTGGAAGTCGTAGCTGCGGACGAGCCCAATGCGGGCGCGAAGGTTGCTCCTGGTGCGAAGGAAGGAAAAGGGATGAAGGAGCCCATTGACAAAAGAACTCGCACAGCAGCTTCTGCGCAAAATAAACAGTACTACATTTGCGGCGGGCTGAACAAAACCGACGTGAAGAGTAACAACACCGTCCCGATGCAGTTGACCCGCAAGGCACTGCAGTACCTTTCGAAGTCCATGTCGGTCTTTCTGACCGCGAGCGGCAGGGCAAAGACCGAGTCGGAAGATGCGGCTCTGACCATCGATAGCAACGACGGGTTTTCCTGCTTGTTAGCACACCACTCCTTCGACTTGAAGCGGTTGCTGGTGTGGTTCCTGCAGTTCTACAACACTTTATCGATTTACAAGGGGCGGGAAAAAAAGAAGGTAGAAAAGGGACGAGGAGCGGGTGAGTCGAGTAACGGTTGTACTGGGCTGGGCAACGATGATGCAGCTATGAACTACGACGGCGACGTCGATCTTGCACATTTTGAGCCACGACGGCCGAAGACAGCGGTACCGCTGGAACTCGAAGTTTCTCCCGACGATTTGTTGGACCGGAATATAGAAGGAACTGGTGACCAAAAAACTGTCGCACACGTACCGACGACTGTGCAGTTGGAGACTGTGCCCTGGAAGACAAGGATCGTCGCCGAGCCGCGAGCCTTGTCGAAGGAAGCACTAGACACCGCACAATTAGGGGGACCACCTCCTCCAGTAGGAACTACTTCTTCTGCGCAAATATTAGGCGGAGGCTCGGCTTCCTCATCTTCCTCCTCGTCTCAGCATGTGCTTCCAGTAGTTCCAGTGAACCTGACCGGGCAAGAGTTCTTTTCGGGGCCCCTGTACACTGAAAACGGGCCGGTGCGGATCGAAGCAGGAGCAGACCTTCGGCAAGGTCGTGGCTTCAATGCTGGAGGAGACCTCGCAGGAACATCATCATCAACTACAGGCCACCGCCCCGGCGCCGCTGGCGCCAGCAGCGCGAGCCCGGCCCACGCCACCGATGAATCGGAGGCCGGGAACTCCATGGAAACGCCACAGCACATGGAGGTGGACGAAAATGCCCGGCCGGAATACTACGAGGAGCTGCAGGAGAACGAGTTGCGGGGTAACGAGGAACTCCTCGAGGAATACAATATGCAATGCAAAAGTATCTGTATCGTACTACTACTACTAGTAGGAATTGCATGACAATTTTTTCTATAGGAGAAAAATAAAATTTCTCATGCAGATTCAGGTAAGCAAGCATAAGCAAAAATCTGTAATGCTATACGACTTTTGCAATGCATATACAAGACCGACAAGCAAAAGGCCAAGGCAGAGCTTCTGCAGAAGCCGCGCTTCCTCGTCGAAACCCTGGAGACGCGATTTTCAGAAAAGGACAATCCGATTTACAAGCTCATGTTCAAACAGCACTGGCTGAAGCTTTTGCTAAAGCACCAGTTTGCGCAAAACTGGTCGCTGTTCGTCGACCGATTAGCGAGGCAAGCAACGGTGGACCCAATTCTGACGCCCGAGGCGTTTACCGCGCAAATGGAGCACCCCGGATTTGCGTCGAAGGAGGGATTTTGCCACGACCCAGACGTGCACCCGGCCCCGAACGGCATGCCCACGGCGGCGGTGCGGAAACTTTTTACCGCATTTAAGGGGTGTCAGGCGGGGAAACAAGCAGCGAGGGAGGAGGAAGGGAAGCCAAAAGAAGCACAGCAGCAGGTGGAAAATGAAACTAAGTCAAGTAAGAATGAGAAAACCAAATCTCCGGCGAAAGATACGAATCCTGACGGAGCTGCACCCGCTTGTTCAAGTGACCAGCCAGAGCAGAAATCTTTTCTCGCACAAGGAGCCCCGGCTTTCTTCGCAGACGTAAACGATCTTCGCGAGCTGGTTGACATCGACTACGGCGAAGGGGAAACCTACGCAGCCGACGAGGGCTATTGCGGCAAGCGGTTCTACGAGGAGCACGCGTTCCAGTCCCACATCGCGCAAGTCACCGCCATGTACTTCCAAAAGTGTCTGACCGAAGATGGTGTTTCCGTGGAGGAGGCGGCACAGGATTTCCTGCCGCATGCTTGTGACGAGTCGATTGTGTTCGTCGTGGATAAAGACCAACTTGCAAAATGTAGTACAACTAAAACGACTGGTGGATCGGGAACTACTACAAGCACGGAACTACACCAGCAGGAGGACAACTGGCGCGCGTTTTTCCAGCTGCAGCGGGGGTTGTACCAGCAGATTATGATCACGGAAGAGGAGTTTTTCGACTACTGTGTGGAAACCATGACGGATTTGCTGCAGTTCGCGGCCTGGACGTGGCACAGCGTCACCGGGGCTTTTGACACCCGAAACCGGACGAAGCTGGCCTTTCTATCGGACAACCTCAGCGCGAGCTCCGCCGTGGACCGGTACAAGGGGTTGCTCGAGGTTTTCGGCATGGAATCCGACCCGGACATGTGGCGGTTTGCGATCCGGAAGTCGCACTTCTCGCAACACAATCAGGTCGGCCAGGGCAAACTGGTCTTCGAGAGAAATCGCGCGAAAGCGGAGCAGAGCTACGTCGAGTTGATGCAGCGCAGCATGCGGAAAACCAGACCGCAACTGGATGAGGAATTCGAGGAGAGAAGGAGAAGTCGAGACTTGATTGGGACCAGGTCCCGTCTGACTAGCACCCTCGAGGAGCAGGATCAACAGAACAGAAACGCAGGAGGAGGTGGAGCCTCCTCGTCCTCTTCATCAGCACCAAATAAAGCAGTTGATCTCGTGGAAATAAATGCTGAAACGAAGACCACCAAAAAGCCCGGCGCCGACGAAATAAATACTACCGGAGATAATTCCACGAACCTCGTGCCGACGCCGAGCCCAAACGCTTCCACCAATCCCTTTCTGCTTCCCGACCACAGGCGTGAGGGCTACAAAGAGCTTCTCAAGTACTACATGAACACGGAGAACTCGATTTTCGACGACACCTTCGGCTACCGCCCCCCGGGCCAGTTCTTTACGTATTGGCAGGCCGCGACCACGCTGTTCGGCAACACGAGCGGAACAACAGCTGCGCAGTCCTGGTCTAACATCAATTTCGACGACTGCAACGTGGTACCACCCAACGCCTACAAGGAAAACTTGATGCGCATGGTGCCCCCGGCGCACATGCTCATTGCCATTTACGAGCTGTTCGGGCAAACCCGGGGCGGGTACAACTGGCAGCGGTGTAACCTGGGCGGCCCGCCGCAGCTGCTGGAGCAGCTGGCCATGGCAAACCGCCGCAAGTTCATGGGCTGCAAATTCCCCGAGAAAATCAAGAAACTGCTCATGTTGGGGCCCAAATTCTCCCTGACGAACGTGCGCACCGTCGGGAGACTGGTGGAGAAATTGCCGAAGTTGTTCCTGGACGGTGGGAGTGACAGCACAGCTTCTTCGTCCACCTTGTCGGGTGGCGGAACAGGATCGGCGGCAGGACCATCGTCCATCTCTGGCGGCGCAGGAGGCAATGCTTCCTCGAATAATTGTAGTACGGCAACCGACGAGATGCGGGACTTTTACCGGGCCACGTACGCGAACTACCTTTGTGCGCAGGAGCTTTTCCAATTCGACAAGCCGTCCAGGATTTTTGAGGAGGACCGGGAGCGGAACCGGCGGAGAAACGATCCGGAGCACACGAAGATGCAGAAGGGGGCAGCGTGCCGGGAGCTGGTAAGACTAGTCGGTGGAAGCGCGGGCAAAGAAGCCGAGCTCCTCACAAAGCAGGAGGAGATGAACAAAATGAATGCGGATATTATGGACAGCGGCAGCAGAAACTCGCCTTCCCCGAAGCGGGCGTCTTCTCCCTCTGGTGCACTCGGAAAGAAGATGAAAACCGCATCACAGTTGTCCCAGGAAGGAACAAACAATAAAGGGACACCAGCAGCAGCTACTAGCAGTAGTACAACTGCAACTTCGGGTATTAATCTTAAAAAGTTAGACGGCCCAGAGACCGCCAAAGCCATCAGGAATTTGGTCATTTTCGGAAAGAAGCCAGCCGATTTTGCGAATGAGGAGAGGAAGAAGGGGAATAAAGCCAAAACGAAACAGCCGAACAAGGAGAGTGCAGCGTTGTTGACTATACCGAGCGAGGCGCCTACTGTGAGTCATCAGCTCCAGCCCGCGTTGATCGAGTTTATCCCCCTACCGGAATCCCTCTCCGGCCTCCTCGCGTACACGTGGGAGCACTACTGTTTTTTTGGCAACAAGAAGCCTTCCGAACCCGCGGTGTGTCTTCTGACCGGCCGCGTCATCGGCATGGCGCAGGACTGCAAGGGCTTTCCCCGCAACTACTTTGGCATGTCGGTGGCGCACCGGCGGAGCATGCAAAACAGCAAAATCGGCGAGGCCACCGCCTACTCCGGGCCGGTCGGTGCCGGGCACGGGATCTACCTGCTCCCCTACACGGCGAGCGTGTTGGTTACGTGCGAGAACGGGCTGTGCTACCTGTGGGACTACGCGTTTCCCTACAGCGACATGTTCGGGGAGAACACCCAGCTACGCGGCGCGGGCCACCACTTGAAGCGGATCCTGGAGATGCGGCTGGACCGGCGGAAGTTGGACGCGCTGCGCCAGATCTACACGTTCGGAGGGTGTCACCAGGAAATCATACGAGTGCAGAACCGGACCATGAAATACTTCCCGAACGCGCTCTGAAGAAGGAGACCTACAGTTGTACCTACTTGTTGCGTTTTTTTACTTACGGCCTCCCGTGTTGGTTCATCTGGGTCTGACCGTGTGGGGCGTGGTTCCAGCAATATCAAGTGCAACAAACAAGAAGGATACAACTACGCGTGCAGTGCAGTGTCGTTTGTCTCGGAAGAGCGAAAAAGCTGCAAAGCTGCAAATCTGAATTGTACGAAGACGCTCCAGGGAATACAGGTACTTATGAGCGGTTTTAGTCGACAAGCCTTTGACTGTTGTTTGAAGTTCTTGTACACCTATGAAGAGAGCAATTCAAATTTGTTGTGTCTTTGAATTATCCCCAACATTCCCATTGAAACTCACACAGATGATCAAGGGCAAGGGGATGTGGACAGGACTCAAGCTACAGCGAGTTTGTTGGGCTGAAGATTACTTCCTACTTCGAAGGCTGTCGGGATAAGCACGAGGCTCCGAGGAGATTATTTTCACGTCCGTCGCTTGATGTTGATCTTATTTCAGCTTTGCAACATAAGCCCTTGTTGGCCAGTTTTTCGACAGACACAATGAAAACGCCACTGACCGACCGTGAGAATGCGTAACATAGTACAATGAGCATTCACTCATCAGGCGACTTTTCCCAAAGAAACGTAAAATGGCATATGTACCCGCATCACACATAGCCTGCCATACAACAGGAACTCGCATTTTATCCTTGCTTTAGTTATGAGTGGTCTGAGTTTTGCTGATTTTGCTACGTCCTCAGAAATTATGAGCCGAACATTAAAAAACGCACGAAGAAATACGCGAGGAAGACTCATCAACATAAACGACTTTCAGTAAAGAAAACTGTCTACTACTCCTGTTTGACTTTGACACCAACCCTCTTTGCAGTGCTGGAAGGCGTTTTCTTGAGAATTTAGGTTGCTTGACGTTCACTTTCAGCATTCTCTTTTGCCGGCACGGTGTCGCGATGTGTTCTGGTGCGTACTGTCAAACAAGTGATGCGTGTGAGCTTAGTGTCAACATGATGCCGGGTTAGGTGTGTACTGCTTTATCAAAACCAAAAACGAAAGCCCAAAACGTACAGAGAGAGCGGGAAGAGTGAGGGAGCGCAAGCCACTGGGGTGGCTCGCCACGCGCGTGGGGCTGGCGCGGCGATTTGGCAGGCGGCCGCTTTGCCGGGGGACGGCGCGGGCGGCCCCGCTTCGTTGGGCCGTTGAGGTCGCGCCGCCCCTGTCTTCACGGACCCGCCAGGAGTCCGGGCGGGGCCGGCGCAGCAGGCGGATGGATTGCCTGGGGCCTGGTCTTACAGCGCCGGCCCTTGCCAAGGCCCCGGGGGTCAGCAAGTTCAAGCCGCCAGCCTTGCAAGAATAAAAAAAAAGGAAAAAGCATGGCGCGGCCCCTTGCCCGGTTCTTGGTCCGGAACCATCTCCCGGCGGTCGGGACATTGGTGGGCCGCCCCAGGCGGCATGGATCGATCGATGGCGAGTGGTTCAAGCGGAAGAAGGGCGGGACTAGCGGGGGCGACGCGGAGAAGGTGGCGAAGAAAGGCGCCCCATTGTTGGCCCGCCCCGAGAGAAGTCGGCCCGCAGGGGAGGCAAGCAAACAGAGGGCCGGGCATTTGATCGGCGTCCTCGAGCGCGCACCTTGCCCGACTCTTTTGGCTGGCCTTGCCTGTGAGCGTGTGCCAGTCGGGCCTTGTGCGCACAATCAAAGGGCGGCCCTTTCTTTGGGCCGCTTTGGCGGGCGTCGGGACCCTCTTGGCCGAGTTGAAGCATGAGGCGGGGGGCCTGCAGGCTTTCAAGTTTGTCGGCCTGCCATTGCTCCAAAACCGCCCGCCAAGCAACGCCCGTGCCCCCTACCAACCCGCCGGGCCGCGGCGGAATATATAAACACAGCGGCGCCCCCCCGCTGTTTTCGCCGGTTGGGCGCCAGTTCCTTCCCTGCTGCGCGGGCCCGTCCCCCCCAATGTCGGCCCGCGCGGAGTTTTACCCAGGATACTCCGCAGGGCGGCCGCGCCCGGTTTTGGGGCGGGGGGGCGGGCGGGGGCTTCTTCCAGCTCCGGCGCGCGCGCGCCGCTTCTGATAATTGGATGGAAGGAAGGGCGGTTAGCTCTGGATTGGCGCAAGGAAGCTAGCCGCGCCAAAGGAGCACGGGCACGCCCGGCCGCGCCGACACTCGTTCCGATTGTTTGATCGTTGGGTGGCGCCATGCTGCTGGGTAGGGCGGCCACCACCATCCAGCATGCCATGTGTGGACCCGTCTGCGCATGGTGTCGTAGCCCCGCCCTGTAGGCTCGCCTTCATAGTGGAGCACAGCCTATGCGGGCCGGCCGTGCAGTGGCGCCGGCTGGGTGCTGGCGCGTATGCGTTTATTTTGTTGGATATCCTTCTCGTTGGACAGTATGTAGGAGCAGGTGGGATGTTGCCGCAATGTTTCGCCGTTGCGATGCAGTACGTGCCTACTCATACAATTAGGGGCCGCCCACTCCCACTGACACTGTTAATAGTGGAAATCAAAAAATGGCTGCAGTAGACGCGGCCATCGGTGTTCAACATGTTGCTCTTGGTCCATTTCGCGCACGCATTCATTGTCCTTCCTTGCATGATATTGAGCGCTCAATAAATCCTTAGGGCGCGCGTGGCTAAACGAAGCGACCAAACGCGGGTTGTCCAGATCAACATGATTGGAGATAAAGCTAGAAAGTTGTAATCCAAGATGGGCAACCAAGCGTTCCGCGACGGTCTTCTCGGGCCCTGCTTTGCAGGAGACTCCCGGAAGGAAGGCTCCCCGTTTGGCGCCACCTGTTGCGGTCCGGAGGCTGAACAGCTCGAGCGGGAGCGCCGAGAACTAGCAGAAGCCGTCGCAGAAAGCCGGAAGCAAAGCAAGTATGATAGAGCTTTCAGTGCATCTTGTTTCACTCTATGATTGTAGCACAGTCACATGACAAGTGATAGTACATTTATTCTCTGGTGCAAAAATTTGCATTCCGATTTCCGTCACTTGATTCATGAAAAGCAAAGTCCCCGCCTTTATTTCAATTTCAACAACAGGAAAGACGTCGCCACGAAACCCGGTTCTCCAAAAAGCAGCAAGAAGAGGAAGCTCGTTCGACGCCAACGCACGGGCGCACCGCCCATCCACTCGTCGAAGCGAAAACTTGTCGGTGGTCGCGCATCGGAATCTTCGGACGCCTCTTCTCTCGACGAGGACGGAGAGGATGCTGGATACCCAAGCGCGAAACGAGTGAAATCTTCCTCTAAATCGAAGTCCCCGGCACAGCAGCGGAGTCAACGGGATCTGCTTGCCCCTGGGGAGCAAGACGACTCCGGTGATGACGAGTCTTTTCTTTTCACCCGGTTCGGCGTCCGACTGCACGTCTTCCTCGTGTTCTGTTTGCTGATTTTGTGGAAGTATTTGGACGAGTCTGCGCTCTTGACGGTCTTTTTCCTTTTCGTCGGTGTGGGCGGGTTCCGGTTCTATGAGCGGCTGCTCGTGGTCCGTGTGAGGGTAGTGAATTATTTCCGGAGATTCCGATTGAAGAAGCAGTGGACGAAACTGAAAAAGAAAACGAAGAGTTTGCTCTTTCTACGCGGCGGAAAGAAGGGGGATGGCAAGGATAAGAAGGATCTGAAGAAGGTGGGAGCCAATAGCGGGTCATTTTTTCGGGTACAGGATTAATTTCCTTTCCACTTCTCATGATGACCTTTGAAGGTCAAGGCCACTGCTACACTTGTGTTTTTTTTACACCCGTCCTTACAACATCTAAATCCATAAACAACCCCAGTTCTCCACGTCCTCCAGCGGCACCACCCCCCAGCGCCGCCCAAGTGGGCAATTCCACAATGCCGATTCTCTGTACGTCCGCAAGCGGAGCCTCGGCGAGACGGGCGCTTCTCCCGAGCGCCCCAGCGCGGCAACGTCCTCCCCGAGTAGCAGCGCGAAGTCGCAAAAGCCGCTGCAGAGCCAGCAGTCGAGTTCTTCAAGCCTTCTATCGACGAAGAGAAGCCTGCTGCCCGCCCTGACCATCACGGGCGCGGATGAGGAAGTGGTGCGGTATTCCGGGATGAGCGCAGCAGGGGATGATGTTGAGCAGGTCGAAGACGTCCCGCCATCTCTCAGCCGCGCGAAAAACTCTTCCATCTCGTCTCTCGGTCACATCTTCAACAACAATATTGGAGGCAGAAGTATTGACACCATCGCAGCTTCTCCTTCCTCCTCCCCTTCCGCGGCGGCTCTGATAGACCGCCGTGTCAGCCGGATGCCGTATCTGAGGAAAGAGTCGTTCCTGGTTCGGCATGGGCAGAAATCGATCCCGCCGGTCATGATGCCACCGAGTTCCCCCTCGAGCTCCCGCATCGGGTCCGTTGTAGTAGAGCGAGAGCAGCGGGCGCCCACGCCGAGCAAAACGAGTGCCAGCGGTGGGGTGATAAACATGCTGTGGGATTGGGTATTTGACGATACGAAGGGGAGCGGGCCGGGGGCTATAATCCCTTCGACCCCAAGCTCCTCGCGGTCGCGTTTGTCGAGAACGCCAACTTCTTCGCGGAGGAAGAAGAGAAGTCAGCGCAAAGATTCGTCTGACAGCACGGATAGCGATGAGGACGCGACAAGTTCCTCTGGAGACGAGTCAGACTTGGAGTTTGATACCACCTACGCTCGGAAGAAGCAGACGAAGAAAGGCGCCACATCCGCACGCCAGCGGCGGCGCAGTTCTGCAGCGAGCAGCACGACTAAAGATAAAGCTGCAAAAATGAATCCAACCAAAGCTGCGACGTTCCGACAAGAACGGCAACCAGACAATTCCACCAGCAGCGCCACCTCCTCCTCCTCTTCGGCCGATGATGCGGACGGCGCGGGGGGTTCTCCGGGCATCATTGACAGGGACGACACAGTGTTTGATCCGCTGAAGGCGTCCACGGCGAGGAGAGGGGTCCTCTTCGTTGATGAGAATGGGAAGGAAGTGGAAAAGAACTCAAGTACGATTATCCCGATGCCCAGCCCGCACCTCCCGATCGACGTGTGCGTCGTGATGAAGAACTACGACTGGGGGTTGCGGTACATCATGAACTTCGACCCGATTACGAAGTGCCTGGATTTGGACCAGCCCCTGACCTTCCACTGGTTCGGCATGAAGGAGCGGATATTCCAAAAGTTGCTCGTCACACCGAGGACAAAAGCTGCTGCGGAGGACGAAGATGATGACAATGACGATGAAACCGCAACGGCTGATGTGGATCAGCAAATGGATCAGCAGTCCTCCAGTTCTTCGAGTTCACAGTCCACACCGGCCTTGAAGAAAAGAAAAAGACAACTGGATGCAGGTGGAGCTGCAGTGGCCACTGCGCGTCTCGGAGGAGTCCAGCCGGTGCAGAAAGAGAACAGCTACGAGGTCCGGGAAGACTGTGTCGTTGCCAGTCACGCAACCGACGTGCTGAATTTGAACAAACAGGGGGTGCCCACGGACACTTTCAGTTACGACGCGGACCTGTTGGATAACCAGTGCGCGCTGCAAGTAAGGCTAAACGTGATCAAGGACCAGCAGGTGGTGTTTCTGGTGCCCTTAAGAGCGGGGAGAGATCAGCCACAGTTCACGGAAGCGGATTATTTGTCAGGTATGTTTAGTTGTGAAGTTGTTTCATCTAGGGGGAGGTGACTGCTCGGGAGATTCAGAATTGAGCGTGATGTGGGCTCGAGGTTGTAAGTACTTGTAGTACGACGTGCACATGGTGCACTCTCGATTTTGGTGCTGACACTGCATGACAAACCTCACACTCACAATTCCAAACCACTAAGGTCGCGTAAACCCACGGGTTTTGTACCTGGAAAAGGAGAAAGTTGGTTTTCCCTCAGAGTCGATCTCGCACGTTTGGGTGGACTTGGATTGGTACTTCGGGTTGCCCAATATTCTTTCGATCAAGATCAACATGTACGCCAATGCGCACCGCGTTTGGAGTAGTGAGGAAAGAAAGCGGTGATGGAAAATCAAAATGGAAAGTGCCGCCGCGTCGCATCGTGGCATGGAGGAGATGAGAAGTCGTGGATCAGGTGGGGTAATGAGTATTGGCGTGGCTGTGCAAGAAACTACGCGACTCCGTCCAAAGTCATCGTGAAAGCATTTCACCTGAACGAACCTCGATCCGGTTTCTAGAGGCAGGGGCAGTAATATGTAGGATAATTTTACGAGATCGAGGCGGAGATTGCTCTTTGTGAGGTCTGACGTCCTCGAATGTCATGGCTACTTGGCTTTCTGTAAGATTTGAAAACGGACAAACGCTAGAAAAGAGAAATGTACGCCATCAATTGTGAAAAATTTCATCACTCCTGTAGTGCCAGCTTAGGCATTGAAAGTCAAGTGCTGTGAGGATGTTGAAGATAAGTTGTTCGCTCTTTTCGTTGAAGTTGGTGTCGCGCAGGCTTTGTTCGTTTAACTTCAAGACAGCGCGCCAAGAAGGGCGCCCCAGCATAGGGGCGCGCTGTCGGAACGACGCGGAGGACTTGCGCGCGGCTTCCGGGGCTTCGTAGCGTGCGAACGCCCCCGGAGTTGCGCAGCCGGGGGGTTACGGCGATCCACTATGATGAAGGAGCTCCCGCGGCAGATTTTGGATCGCTGAAAAGGCTTGCCCCAAGAAAGAAATGCCAGGGCGGGGCTGACGTAGTTCCGGCTTGTTTTTTGTTTCCGAGCTTGCCGAGGGTGGGGAGAGGCCGCCGGGGGCGGGCGTCGCTCGGGCAGAGAGGTAGCGCGATGCTGCGACGACGTGAATCGGAGGCGTGGGCGCCGATGTGTTGTCTAAGCTTGCTAGCGCCGGCGCCTCGTCGATGCTCAGTTGGCCGGGCGTATTGCGCCGGGCACTCGTTTCGCACGTTGGCCCCCGACCACGCCGCGCGGAGACAGAAGCCCAGGCGGGCTGCCCAGGGCAATTGGCGCGCTATCTTGAAGCACTTCCGGGGCACGCCTTGCGTTGCGTTCGGCGACACTCTCCCAGTCGTTCAAACGTGGTGGCTCTCCAGTTGGTAGCCCACTTTAGTGCTTTCCTCGTGTATGTGCTCCGCGGCGACTTGATTGCGGAGACCCAGGGAGGCCGAGGCGGGTCGCGGAGACTTGCAGCCCAAAGACTCTGGCCGCGTGGCGGATCGCTCGGCAAGGGGGCGAGCGCGTTGCCGGCGCGCCCTTGTCCGGTTGGGGCTGCCGCATTCGGTTCGGGAGGTGAAGCGGCGACGCCATTTGCGGCGAGCCTATGGCAAGTGGGCGGGCGGGGGGCCTACTGCCTACGGGGGCCGGAGTGTGTGTCCTCGGCGCGGTCACGCACCCGCGCCCCGCCGGCCTAGTCCGTGTTGCGCCGGTTGGCCGCCCCTGCTCCGCTGTTGGCCTGCTTCCCTTCAAGCATGCAGGCAGGCGACCCACATCGGGGCGGGCCGCGCCAGCCCCCGGAAGTGGCCCCCACCCATTGCAGCTGAGACGCTGGCGGCGCCGCTTGTGGTGGAGGCGGCGCGGCTCGCCTTCTGTCCTTCGGCGCGTGGGAGGGCCTTTGCCCCAGAACGTGCTTGCTTTCGTTGCCGACACAGGGGCGGCGCACTTACGTAGGGCCGGCTCCCGCGCTGATCTGTCTTGCGCAGTTTCTTCCCGCTGGCGTGCCTTGCTTGGTCGATAAAGGCTGCAGCGCTTGCATTTCAAAAAAAGCTAGTGCGTCGCACCAGCTTAACTTGGTTGCCATTGCGTGCCACTCTGCTCCTGTTCGGTTTGTGCGTCGGCCCTTCGTCCTGTAGTATGTAGTGAGGTCACCGAACGGTTCTAGCCGGGGAGTTTTTTTGCCACCGACCCAGACAGCAAAACCGACGACAGTTTTCAAGCGGGCGGAAGTGTTTTTACACAAAAAAAATCTCCACTTATCAAGCGGCCCTGGCTGACCTGGCACCGAATCGCCAGCGGATTCTATCGGTCGCCGCTTGAAAAACGACGCAGAGGAGCGCCCAAAGGCGGCGCCCTTCTGAGGCGCCCACCGCCTTAGTTTCTGGCGGTTTGGGGCGCCCAAAAAGCAGCGCGAAAAAAACGCGCCCAAAATCAGAACAGCGAAACAGCATGGCACGGCCGCGATTTCGGAGCATTTTGGGCGGCCGCGAAAGCGGCCGCATTTTCGCCGGTTTCAGAGCCTGGGAAGCTTTGCAAAAAGCGCCGGCTAGAAAAATAAAAACGCAAAAGAGCAAAAGCGCGCCAGACGCGCAAAGCCAATCCGCATGCTATGGGCCCGATTTGTTTTCGCTTTTTGGGCGCCCCCCGTGGCACCCAGATCGGCCCCATAGCATGGGCGTTGGCTTTCGGAAAGGAATATCGGAAATTTGCTAAAATTTGTGACGTTTATCAAGTGGCCGCCATACCGTGCGGCCTAACGTTACTCACGGCGGTATGGCGAGCCCAGAAAAAGCAAAGCGACGGCCAAAACGCCCGCGACGTCACTACTTCCGCCCCGGCGGCTATACTTGGTACTAGATGAACTGCAGGCATCGATGAGCATCACACGCCCGATTAGTGCGAGCTTGTTGCTCCTGTGGCCGTGTATGGATTGCCCGGTAGCTTCCGCGTGCGCAAGTGCTCTGTGTCTGTACCTATCCACAGAGAGATTGCTCGCCTACTCTCCGACGATTTCTTTTCCTTCTGCAGTTCTGCATGGTGCATGATTCATTTTTGGTGACGATTGTCCGCATGCCATACTAACTTCAAGGGAAGCGTGCTCGTCTTTTCTTGCTGTTGCGCGATAAGTCATCAGCATCCCCACGTCCGTGTGAAGAACACGACCAAAGATGCACCGAGCACCAATAGCAATATAATTAAAGCCCTACAGCCATGAGCATGACCTCCCGCCAATTGCAAAGGTACCCCTTGCGCGACGCGGTTGCCCGCGAAGCGCTCTGCCTCGATGGCAGCGTCCCGCAGTACTACTACCTCCAAGGGAACACCACTTCCCAAAACTCCAAGGTCGTCCTCTACTTCATGCACGGTGGTTTTTGCGGCCGAACTCTGCAGGAATGCGTCGAACTGTCCATGCCCTACTACTCCACAATCAGCCTGCCCCCGACCGTCGACGGCTACCACTTGCTCTCCCCGTTCGAGTCCGAAAACCCGCATTTCTATGGCTACGAGAAAATCCTGATCGACTACTGCAGCGGGGACACCTACAGTTTGAACAGCAGCACGACGTACACACCGGCCTCACCGAGTTATAATGGGCAACAAGGTGCACCTTCTAACACCGTTCCCGTCCACTTCCGCGGCGCGAATATTGTGAAGTGTTTCATCGAGGACCTCCGCGACGGCTTTCTCTTCAACCCTGCGAATAGTAGTTCGAGCCAAACGCCCCCACTCTCTCCCTCGCTCACCGACATTTTGATTTCCGGCTCGTCCGCGGGGGGACTGGGCGTCATGGGCCATGGCTGGCGGTTCCAGACCCTCTTTCCCACCGCGAATATTCGGGCGGTGATCGACAGCTCGCAATTCTTCTCCCTTGGCGGGGAAAAGCAAATGATGGACTTCCTCACCACCTACAACATCTCTGGCGGGACGGGCTGCGAGCTGGACCCTGCCGGGCCGCAGTGCTGCTTCTACGCACACTGCATGACGGCGCACCGAAGCGGGGGTTTAGCCGCGTACTACACAATTCCGACGCTTTGGGTGCAGAGCAAGTACGACTTCTACTCCACCGCGTCTGAAGTCACTTTCGCCGGACAAACCAGCGGGGACAGTAGTAGCAGTTCGAATTCAGCACATGGCGAAGAGGATAGTCCTGCAACATTGTCCGCCACGGGGCATTTGCTCCACTACATGGCAGTGGCGGGCAGAGTGGAGACGCTGAACAAGCAGCTGATCCACGCCCATCCTGGCTCCGCCGCGGTTCTGTCCACCTGCGCCGAGCACGTCTTGCTTGCCCCAACGACGCTGAAGTTCAAGTTTTACCAGTACGATTATGCTGGGGATGAGTTGCTCGCGGGACAAGCCGATCCGGCGAGCGTTGTGCATGGGCCGGGGGTGTTCAGTGCGAAGAAGGTACTTGTTTCTACTTTCCCCGTATGCTATTTGCAACATATTACGGACAGGCAGATGAAAAAACTCGGGCGCCAAGATATTTGCTGCTTCTTTCCTACTTTGAGCAGGAGGACTCTAGTACCTTCTATTTCTGCAAATTTTATTTATCGCGTGGTCAAATAAATTACCCAAGGTAATCGAGCTTGGCCAAGTGACCAACCCAGTTTCCTCGTCCTCCGATATCTCACTCGCAGTGGAGATCAACGCGGGGTTACTGAGAAGAGCAAACCACATCAACAACAAACCTCTAATGGACTACGTCTCCCAGTGGGCTGCTTCCGCCGACGGCGTTATTGAAAACGAGGAAAAGTTGACTCAGAGACCCGCCTTCGCCTTCAACAGTCTGGATGAACGCTGTGAATCCAAGCTGCAGATGAAATTTGTCGGTATGGGGAACGAGCAGAGTATTCTCCACACGATCGACGAGGAGGTCTTCCCGATTGTTTTACTCACCTCCATGGCGTTGATACTAATCGTCGCAGTTTATTTCTGGTTCCAGCGATTGCGGCTGAAATTACTGGCGACCGTGCACGTGAATGTCGCTGGGAAGATGGGAGTGGGCAGTGGTGGAAAGAGTGCCTTTGACGAAGACGGAACAACCGGCCGCGCTGGTATAATTGCTGACGATGAGCAAGATCAATCCAAAGACGCTGAAGCGGCCGCTAACGCAGCGTTTGCGCTGCAGGTTTTGCAACAACGCAGACAACGAGTGGAGCAGGCAGCGGCGTCGGGGAAGACGAAGTGGGGAATTTTTTTGCCATCGAAGAACAGAGAGAAGAACGTGAAGGAGACGAGCGGCTTCGAGATTTTGCTGTCGAAGGAATTCATTATCGGTGGATCTAATACTTCTGAAGCCGACTTTTCGCTGGTGTACGCGGGGGCGGGGAGTGGTATCGACGTTGGAACCTCCTCCAGCCTCTCTTCTTCCGGTGTGGACATCGACGCAGCTGCTGGGCTGGTGAGTCAGCCAGAGCAAATGTTGACACCGCTCAGGAAATTCCGGATTCACGTTCTGCGGGCACTGTTGAAGTACAAAATGGAGGTGCAAGAGAGGAAAGGAAAGAAAAGGACTTCGAAAACGAAATTCCAATTGTCGTCCTCCAAAGACAAAGCGGTCGACGCCCAAATGGTGAACATTACCATCTTGGAGGACGGCATCCGACGGCACAGCAAAGACCGAGCGGGATCAAAGGCGAGTAAGCGCAGCGGCGGTGATCGTGATGTTGGGAAGACTTTGCTGAAAGATGAAGGCGAAACGTTCGGCGCCGGTGTAGGACAAACCGAAAAAAGCAAGGAGCCAGCATCTGAAAAATCTGAAATCCAACGTAGTGAAGAGGATCATGAACAAGAAGCACTAGCCCCCGCCGTAGAACAAGTACAGTCCAGCTCTTTCATCGAGAACCTGCCCTGCATGATGCTCCAGAACGTCACTTACCAAATCGGGAAGTCCCACTTCCTCCTCGCAAACGTGAACTGCGTTTTCCGCTACGGTCGCATGATCGCTTTGATGGGCGGTCTCCGGGAAGTCCACTTTATGCAAACTAGCCTCCGACCGCCAATTTTCCGGGCACTACTCCGGGCTGATCACCTTAGACGGCATGCCGATGCACTTGATCCCCAATCGAACCGCGAAAATCGCGTATGTTAGGCAGTTCCCGACCTGCGGGCCGAGCGAGTGCACGGTGATCGAAGCTTTGCTACTGTACGCGTACAAGGCGGGGCTGGACATCGATTTGAGTCAGGTGAGGTTAAGTGAAGTGATCTTGGAACGGTTTTTGGACGGAAATAAGATGAAAAAGGGGGGAGCTGCGATGAACAAAGCAAAACTGAAAGAGATGCTGGCGAACTTGGAACGGAGATTTTCCTCGCTAGGGACGCCTGCGGCGTCTGAAAAACCGGGCGATGCTGCGTCAAGTGGCTCGCCGGATGAAGCCACAGATGCGGATGCGGTTTTGAAGATGAAAAAGAAATCCCAGGCCACTTCGAACCTGTTCGCGAAACTGCAGACCATTGTGAAGGATCTGAACATGGGTTGGTTTTTGCATCGACGAATTTCCGACTTGTCGGGCGGACAGAAAAAGCTGCTGTCCGTGGCGCAAGCGCTCATTTGCGAACCAGGAATTATCTTTCTGGACGAGCCGACTTCCGGTACGTTTGTGTCGTTTTTTTTTTGTGCTAGAGCGTAGCAGTAGGCGGAGTCTGTTGATATTGTCATCGAGGATTTGATATAATGCGAAGTCACTAGTTCCAGTCTTGCTCTTGGACATAGACTGAGTGCCACTTCAAGTGTATGACGCAAAAACAAATCAATTCCTCATCGAAATCTCAGGTCTCGACGCAATGACGGCGGAAACCTTGATGCTGGCTTTGTCTAACGTCACCTGGAAGCAGAAGTGCTGCATGGTGATCGTGATTCACCAACCGTCCGCTTTGGTTTACAGTCTGTTCGACGATCTCGTCCTGCTGTGCCGCGGAAAAGTAATCTACTCCGGGCCCCGGGAATTTGCCGACGAAGCGTTGGATGCGCTGGACTTGAAATTGAAGAAGAAACACGGGGAGATGGTGGAAGATGAAACTGTCGGACAGGTGTTGAACAAGACAAACACAAACAGCGTCGAAAATAATGTAGAACAAAAAGGAGATGAGGTCCTCAACGCTGTTGACAAACCACTTGAAGCTCTTGCAGAAGAAGCTGACCACGCTCTGCCCACGACCTGCAACTCTGATTTGACGTTAGCGAAAGCCATGAACATGTTTCAGGCGAAAAATCGAAAATGGGACATGCTCCGCCACGTGCTTTTCGTTCCCCGAGCCCCCTCCGCTGACAAATTCATCACGAACGAATTGAAAGAAATGATGGCGTGCGGTTCCGTTGTCCAAGATGGCGCCAGCACTGGTGTTGAAAACAGCAATGCCAAAAAGGTGATAAAACCGTCCTTCAAGCGCGCTATCGACGGCGCAGACCCGGCCCCGGCGAAGTCGGCTCTGTTGTTGGAGCTTTTCGCCTACAACGAGCTCTACCTGTCCAACACTTTACCGCTCGTCGCTTTACCGCTCGGCGCGGTCGTCGTCTGGGGCTTTCTGGAATTCTCGAGTGCGAAGCACGATGCGGCGAAGTGCATGCTGGAGGTGTACGTGGTCGGGTTTGCGGTGTTGAACATCCTACTGCCGAACGTCTTTGCGCATTTGAACTGTAACCAAGACGGGCTGCAAGACCGGATTTTCAAGTCCACCGACATGTTCTGGGTGGTCGCCTTCTTCTGCCAGCTGTGCTCGGTGGTGATCTCCTTGATCATGGGCAGTTTCTCGCTGTTCGCCTTCTTACTCCCGACGCAATCCATGACCAACTGCACGTGGTTTGAGCACGTGTTTGTCTGCTACCTGGTGAGCAGCTTCATTAGCCTGTTGGTGCAGCTGTTTCTCTACCAGGCGCGGGGACACGAGGACGCGAACAAAATGGCCTCGGTGTTCACGCAGTTAGCGGTCTTCACAGCGGCGCTGTCCCTGTTCTCCGGCTTCACGATAACGTTAGACGAAGCCTCCTGGCTCCGCCCCTTGATGTTTGTATCGCCGCCTTTCTGGGCGCAGAAGAAACTGGTGACAATGGGTTTTTTAGACGAAAGTTACAACTGCGAAAACGTCGACTGTTTGTTGAACTCCGGCAACGCGTGGATAGCGATGCTTTACGGCGGGCCGGAGGGTCAGGAGTGGACGTATTTGGTGCTGACGATGTTCTGTCTTGGGACGTTAGTCTTTTCGCGTTTCGTGTGGTACTTGAAGATGGGAACGCCGGCGGTGGTAGCGCTGGGAACGACGAAGAAAGGGAAAGGAACTGGATATGGATTCGCGGCTGCGGGTGCTACTAAGCAGGGTAGTGCTGCTGCCAGTTCTGGATCATCATCTTCGAAGGACGTCATCGCGTTGTTTCCCTTTGTGCAGACGAGCAGTTTTACCGGGTTATTGGAAAAGGTGAAAAAACAAGCGACGTTGGAGGAGGAGGGGGAGGAGGGGTGACCCGTATTGAAAATGGTCTGACGGATCCAGAGATTGCCCATCTTGAAACTCCACCTATCTAAAATCTATACTTTATTTTCATGTCGACGCGATCCCTTGAGTTTATCTTTGCGATGGAAAAGTTTTATCCGTCGTTCTTTTTCTTGTAGGTGTTTCTTCCGTGGTGCAAAACTGCGAAAATTCAATCTACTCGCTAGCAGGCAAGAGCAAGCTGCAAAAGCTTCACAACGTAATTCCCAAAGTAACGTAGTCAGTTCAGTTTAGCTTTAGTACGATGCCCAAAGAAGATAGGGCAAGAAGTAAGAATCGTTTTGTTACTCTCAGTCAAAGTATTGCATGCCTCCTACTTCATTGCGGAAAAATAAACGTGTCATCTTTGTTTCTTGTTTCATCTGGTGCCTCAGATTGACAATGTCACCGTGACTCGCGAGGGTTGAACGAATTCCATTTCCTTTGTTTCCATCACACGAAGAAGGCGGCAAAATATTATGCTTAACGCTCGAGCCTGAACCGCGCCAGGGGAATGCGACAGAATCTGTTCGCCATTTGAGCTGTTTCAGCTTTTTGATCAACTTCAGATGATTCTTCTAGCACGAGCACAACGCGTTATGATCATCGCTGAAGAAAAGATGTATTATCTTGGTTTTGCAGATAGCCACCGATACCGCCCACGCTCCTAGCATTCGAGTTCGACGCCGTGCTATTACAACAACTCCGGCGCTCGTCACCTATGTCCGGTTTGTTCACACCATGGCGTCCGTGCACCGTGATGATCCGCGGCCCCGAGTCAGGCAAATTTGTGGAAGCTTTGCCAGACGGGAATCTCGCGGCCGCCGCCTCTGCCGGCGGGACCGCTTTCTCCTTCGAAGACGGTCGCACGACGTATGGCGTTCTCAAACGTTACATTCTCAACTGTTCCATGAAATTTGTCATGCAAGAACGGCAAAAGTGAAAGGGAAAAGATTGGGCCTTTTGCATTACAGGTTTGGAGCAGATTATAATGCTATCTACCGCGTCGAGAAGTTGTCATGCGGAGAAGGCTTGATCGTGTGAAGAGCGATAGTGTTTTTGCATGACAAATCATGTAACAGTTGAGAATGTAACATTTGAGAACGCCATACGACGCTGACAGGCTCGGGCGTGGTGTTCGGTACGATTACTGCTACACAGCGACAGGCAGCAAACGTCGACCAAAAAGTGGCTGTTCAAGAATCGAGTGCCAGCGGGTCAGAATTTGTCCCGTCCACCGGCATTGCCCATTTTTCGCTGTTTCAGCCTTTCCTACGCAGTGTGGCTACGAATGGTGAGAGCCATGTGGACAAACCAGATGAGCAGCATGATGCCCAGACCGATTTTGAGCATGTACTCTTGCCAGAAACGGAAGTATTTGTCAAAGTTCAACATCAAGAAGCAGCGGATGGTCGGAGCGAAAACTTGATCCAAAGCACAAACCAGTCTGCAGCATCTCAATTTCACATGGTGAAAGTTCGGCCGACGCGAATTTTGCACGCAGGGAATGCGCAACAAGAGTTTATGAGGCACGCAGGGCCTTGCAAAATGTCCCTTGATGGAACAAGTGGTGCTGCCATTGCTTCCGAAGGGAGTGAGGACGCCTGGCTTTCTGTGACGGAGCGCACGCAGCTGGCGAAGGTTCCCGTGTGTTGCATTGCGGCGGCTAGTGGTCTTGGATCTCCGTTGACCAGCAACGCCGGTATTCGTGACGGCACCTTGTTCCACCCAGCGTTTCTCTTCGTCGAGTTTGAGGCGAACAACAAACCAACAGAGGTTGGAGCGCCTGATGCGAATGTCGGAGATGAGCCGCCAGGTGCAAATCTTCTGGCAGCAGGAGGTGGCGGCACGGTTCTACATGAACATGATCGAAGCCATAACCAATACCGCCACACAGCAAGAAGCGTAATTCCCACGGGCAGCCAAGTTCTCCTGCAAGCCGGTGCGTATGGGCACACGAGCCTCTTTGCGAATTTGAAAATCCGGTCTTCCATCGCGAACAGGTCTGATTTCATGTACTTGCTGGATGCAGTGACGCACGAGGGTATGGCGGGCGGGGCTGTGTCTGTTCGTCGAAGAACTAGCGGAGATGAGCAGCATGAGGATAGGCTAATTGGGCTGCTACTGCCTCCACTGAAAGTTGGAACGATCGCTGATGGGAGCGGGGCAGGAACTGCTGGGTCGCCTGGAACAAGTGATGCTTTTTCCTTGGCTGTGGCACTGACAAGTGCCGATGCTGGAGGTAATGGAGACAGGAGCTTGAGGAGCAAAATGAAACTGGAAGCCGTGATGACATGTAGCGGGAATGAGATGATGGAGACACTAACCACAAGCACATTAGAGGTTCACAATCTTCAACCCGAGCGGTCATTGAAAACGACCGACCCTTTCTTCCGCCGCAGCGTGGCTCGACTCGTTCACCCAGACCGTGGCACTTGGGGCACAGCGGTCGTTCTGACGACAAAACCAAGAGCTTTTTTCCTGACCTGTGCGCACGTTGCGCGCGACACGAGGTTCATGCGTGTGCAGCTGCCCCCGGCTCAGGGGATGGATTCGTATGTGAAACGCACAAGTGCCGAGGCCGACCTGCTACAGCGCCACACAGCATTCGTAACGATCCGCAAAGTCTGGGATGGATTCACGAGTGGCTCTGGGATGGACGCCGCATTGCTTGTTGTAGACAGCACTGCGCAACAAAAGCTGGTAGAGGAATGCTTCGAAGAGGTACCCTGGGTGACTGATGAAACAAAAATGCCCCTGAGCAGAAAAGACGGCTCCGATAGAACAACGGAATGCGCCGCCGTCGGCTTTCCTGTCTTCGAGGACCAGAGCTTGTTCCAAAATTTTCAACCGACTGTCACCAAGGGCCTTGTGTCGTCAGTGAAGCTTGGAAACAAAACGGTTATGCTCCGAAGTACCGCCGCAGTGCATAACGGAAATTCCGGCGGAGCCTTGGTTTTGCCAGGAAGAGGACTGATAGGGCTGCTCGTCATGAACATTCAACGCGGAGGAGCACCAGCAATCCCTGATAGCTCAGCGGACGCGGAACAAGATGAACATGATGCGAGTGCATCACGAAAGAGCGAGGCAGAGGAAGGCAAAGACTCGTTATCGTCGCCGCAGTATTACCCACACTTAAACTTCAGCATTCCCGTCTGGCAAAAGCTCTCGCCGATCTATCACTTTTGCAAGAATTTGAAAAAAAAACACCTGTTTGAGTTCACGTTTTTTAATAGAATTGAACCGATGACACAAATCGAAAAGCAGTTGTGGCTGCTTGACGAGAATGCTTCAGCGGGTTTGACACTAGAGGATGGACAATTGCAAATGAAAGACGTTTCCAAACTAGAGCAGCGCGCTGCGTATGCTAGGACAGTTCTGAATATTTTCACGAATGAGAGCCGAGCGGCAAGGGCCAGACTGTAGCTGCTGAACAAAGCGCGCGCACTGTATTTTTTTATTCTTGTGTAACGTTGCGACAGCATGACAAGCCACAAAGCTGGCTTCGTGCTCTGGCTACAGCCTGTTCTGCTTGATTTTATAGACTACTTATCGCACGTTTCGTAGCTTCGTGGATTCATAGTCTTAGTCGTCATCGCCGGGTACTCGCGTGAAAAAATTATTTCCGATCAAGTAGAAGAATACACCTCGATCATCGTATGGTGTGAGTGTGACATCGACAGTTCCAGTCCGACACAGCCTCTCAAGAGGTTTCCTCGGAATCGGACTCGGACAAGGCAGTTAGTTTGCTACTTGCCAGGGTCGTGCTTTTCTTTTCGTGATCGTGACGAGGTAAGTACTTCCTCTTGCCGGGAAAAAAGTTGTCTAGGCCAAGGCTCAATTGCCTTTTTTGACGAAAATAAATTGTGTTGAATGCATAAGCTGCATATGCAAACGCAACGCATGAATGATATCGCGTTCGACATTCTCCTGAAAGTCGTTCTCTTCGTGTTGACTTCATCCAAGGTGATCTGTATGGTCTTGTGTGTATACAACCTAATAAGCACACCGACGTGCTAAAAAGCGTGTGTGAAAGTAGACTTGAAAGAAAAAATTTGTCTCTCCAACAAGTCTCGCAGTCCAACAAAGTAAATCAAAATGTCGCGGCAAACGAGGCCAGCGTGTGTGAAGCGCGTAGAGCGCCCAGCAAGGGCACTCCTGCCAATCGCGATTTTGCCAACTCTGGATCATAATGGTATTTTTTTTTCGCGTTTCAGAATGCATACCACCATCAAAGAATCAAGTTTTTACATATTTGTGTAGGTGTCTGAAGCGCTCAAGAAATGGTCGCGTTATTTCAATACAGTTTTTTACGCCTTCGCCTACAACAAGCAGAAGAAGACGAAAGATGGAGGGAATTTGCGTGGATCGAAAAACGCGTTCTCCGAGCCCGAGCTGCACAGTGGGTTTGTGGCGGATTCTCGACGTGTATTGAAAGAAAATTCATACGTTGTTCAGTTTGCGCACCATTTCGTCAAAAGAAAGAGATGAAACTCTTCAGATAATTTGTTCTGTGATTTCTCTTCCTTCATAGTTTCACACTTTACGCTCAAGAAATATTAGAGCCACTTTTTTTTTATTTTTTATGCAGAAAATGAAAAGTAACTGTAACAAAAAGTCAGGAACACATAAACAAATTAATATTACCCAAAAACAGACTCCGGGGTCAGTCTTGGAACTGGATGTTTCGAGGAGAACTGCAAATGAAGAAGCTGACCGCGCGGAGAAGACTGAGAACGAAGCGACGGAGGAGGAAAAGCGAGAGGTCAAGACCGCCGAGGGGACCAACGTCGGTGCCAGCAAGCAACAAACGGAGTTTGCGGTCGAGGCGTCCAGGTCAGAGTCGCGCAGCGAAAAGACATACCAGGGAAACAAGGAAAACAAAGATCATGCGCATGCCGGCGAAGGACAGAGCCAGACACAGGAGGTCAAGATGGACGAGAAACAAATGACGCAAAAAAAAAACGGAAAACAAAGAAGAACAAAACAAAAGCCCGGCCTATGGCCGGAAGAAGGGGTCCTAAACGGGCCCTAAAAACCTTTAAAAGCTATGACTTAAGTACTTACTACAAACATTTACCTTGACTACCAAAACAAATTAAAGATGTAACAAGCGATCGAAATGAAATTGAAAAGCAAGGCGGCTTGTCTTCAGAGAAAGATCATATCACGGCGAAAAGCCTCAGGCTATCGTACAGATTTAATAGTTATGTAAAAAACTCATCCACACCGACCCACCCCTTGACGAACGTTGTAATAAGATACGTACATCAATAAGGAGCAAGCGATTAAAACCGTGCATTCTACTTCACCTGAAGCGATATCTTGACAAAACGCGCATCTCACAAAATTCATCAATAAATGCGAATTTACTTCTCTTAGTGTGGGCCTCCGCTTCAACCAAGCTGCAGCTCCAACCAAGCTGCATCTTCGACGAGAACGAGTTTTGCACACACGAACGGACCCCACTTTTAACTCTCTGCGCAATACCCCCGACAGGGTAGATGATGATGATGATTCGACTATCGCTGCGCCTCTATCTCGGGCTTGACTTTTGAACACAAAATTATGTACCTGTTTGTGAAGCATGGAAATGGATTTTGCAGTGCTATACATAGGAATATGATACGCCATGATCAGTAGTTGGTGAAAGTCAAGCCCTCCATTTCTTGTGTGTTTGCGTATCGATGGCGAGTTGACAAAAACGCATTGCACTTTCGGGTTTTTTCGTCGTATTGCGTTTGTATGTATTTATAAATGAGTGGCTTCTACTATTTGTCGGTCTTCTTCTCCTCCCGTGTGTACAAATTTTGTATTTGTACGGAGATTTCACAAGCCGAAGCACCATGCGAGCTTGCTTTCGATGACCCCGTGCCCATCTCTGAGATATTCCCATACTCTAGCGAAAAGAGTGAAACATGGTCATGGGATTGCATATCTTATCAGTGCTGCGCCTGTGTCTGTGCGTCATTTGATTCTGGTGTGGTGACTGTGCGTTCTCCGCCCGTCCAGTGAATACAGGAACAGCACGCTCGTCAAGGGAATACAGCAACATCCAGTTCTTGTATATTACATTAAGCCTATTTTTGGTATCGCCGATCTTGTGATCTTCTTTTTCACATAAGATGAGTTCAGTGTCTGTGTCTGCTTGCCCCGAGAAGCTGGAAAGATCTTCTTCTCCAAAATTTTTAGTGGAACCCTCGACATCGTCGTGTTTCTCCTGGTTCGTTGAATCGGCGAAGCGGTCTCTACTCTGCGGTGCCGCCTCCTCTTCCGGTTCAGGCACCACGATGAAAAGTTCGAGTTACGCTACGGTGACCACAAACACCTCATGCTGCAGCTCGAGCGGGTCAGCCGTTTCTCGAAAGAGAGAAATCGATGCGGCAATTTATTACGATGGCAAGACGTGCAGGGACAGGGGTGCTGCAACAAGTATATCCGATAAGACCCACCTCTTCACTCTCCGTCAGCAATTCTTTGCCAAAAAGCTCTCCGTTAGCTATGCGAACACCAACCCGCTCTGGATTATTAGGGGAGAGAAGCAGTACCTGTTCGATGAAAAAGGGACGAAGTACCTCGACACGAGGAACAATGTCGCGCACGTCGGACACAGCCACCCGCGGGTTGTGAACGCCGTTTGCGAGCAGATGAAAGTGTTGAACACGAACACGAGGTATCTGCATGAGAACATGTGTCGGTTGGCGGAGAAATTGCTTGCGTACAGCAATGCAAACCAAGAGCAGACGTCAAACGCAAATCCTCCTTTCGACAAAGTTTTCTTCGTGAATTCCGGCTCCGAAGCGAACGACCTGGCCTTGCGGTTGGTGGAAGCGTATCATGCGAGAATGAGAGCTGCAGTGAAGAACTGTGAAGACCAGAAGTCACCAGTGCAACTCACTTTGACCAGCGGAAGCTCAGCCGCGGCCATGAAAACCGATTACATCACGGTTGAAAACGGTTACCACGGACATACGAAGTCTGTGGTCGACGTTTCGCCGTACAAATTTCTAGAGCAAAAATCCAACATCCACGTCCTCGCCCAGCCGAGCGATCTAGCGAAAACGCAGAAGAGTTTGCAGCAGCTGCGGTCGATTCTATTCGGCGTGAAAGGCATGAAAATTGCGGCGATGTTCATCGAGAGCGGTATGTCGGTGGGCGGTGTGATTCTCCCCCCAGATTCGTACCTCCGCGAGGTGCAACGGATGCTCAAAGAGAAGAGCGCGCTTCTGGTCATGGACGAGGTGCAAGTTGGGCTAGGCAGGTATGGAGACGCGTTCTGGGCGTGGCAAAGCAGTGCTTGCGAAGCAGCTACTGGCACTGAGACGATGTCCGAACGACAACCCAACGAGAACTGTGCGACAACGATGACGAATTTTCCCCCGGCGACGTCCGCAATACCAATACCACAATTCTGTCCCGACATTATCACCTGCGGCAAGCCGATGGGGAATGGTATGCCTTTGGCTTGCGTCATCACAAGGCAGGAAATCGCGGACTCGTTCGAAAAGGAGTACTTCAACACGTTTGGTGGGAACCCAGTGTGCTGTGCTGCGGGGTTGGCGGTACTGGAGACTCTGGAAGAGGAAAACTTGATGGAAAACGCAAGAATTGTCGGCGCGTATTTGCGCAAAATCGCATTAGAGCGGTTGACGGAAGCTGGTCTTCAAGCCACGAGCGGAATGATCGACGAGAGTGACGACCCGAACAGGCAACTAAGCAGGCCACAAATCTTTCTCTCCGAAGTCCGGGGCAAGGGTTTGTTCGTCGGCCTGGAATTTGTGCTGCAGCGACCACTAGGAACAGCAGCACGAAAAAATATTCAAGCTAGCAGGAAAGTAACAACCGTAACCGAACCTGCGACCGCGGCCACAAGTGCGCTGTGTGCCGCGTTGGTTCGGGATTGGCAAATTCTTACGAGCATCGACGGTCCGGATGATAATGTGCTGGTGGTAAAGCCGCCAATGTGTTTTTCGCGGGAGAACTGCGACTACCTTGTAACCGCAATCGCCTCCGTGTTACAAGAGATGAATGAAGAGCTCGAAGATGGCCGTGGGGAAAATTCGAGTTTGCTCAACGTGGGTCTTGGTTCTGTCGTAGGAAACAGACCTACGTGAAGATGTCAGAGAAAGACAAAGAAGACTAGAGAAAGACAATATGAAGCTCGCCGGCATTTAACGAATGGAAGTTTTCACTGTTTTTGCTTGGAGGCATTTTTCTGTGTCATTCCTGCCAACTCTTCTCAAACAAAGAGAAATTTCGTTTGCGTGAAGATGTCATGTTCGACATTGATGAAGATGACCTTGGGTTGGTATCCTAGTGAGGGAGCAAGAAGCTGCTTAAAAGGTTGTGTAGTCAGTCCGAGAAAGAAAGATTGTCCGACCAACATCAGCGCACAGGTTCGTCATCATGATCCAGGTTTTTCTTGTGATGGCAATTGCTCAGGGTCAGGTGAGCCACCAGATCCGATGCTTAAATATCCATATTGATCCGATTCTTGAAGCAACGATCTAAGTACATCATGAGTCTACAACAAGTATGGTGCCAGACGACCACTTTCTCTGTTGAATACATAGGACAAACTGGTGACTTACGATGTCGAAGAGGAGAAAAGGGATCAGTTCTTGCAGGCAGCCAGGGCTCTCGTTATTCAACATTATTCCACCTATGTAAAACGCAAAGCCGAACCCGAAGCGCAATTGCGTCACTGTTGTTGCGATGGAATGTCCCGTATTTCACCCCCCATGAACAACCTGATGAATCGTTTTAGTCCCGTGTCTGTTTGGATTTTCGTAGCGCTTTACACGACCCCGATTTGGTCCGGGACAAGCTTTGTCATGGGAGAAATTGAATGAAAATGTCTGCAGTTAAACTGCAAATGGTGAACTGAGAAATTGATCAATTTTCAAATGAGTCGCGAAGCGTGGGGTGTGGTGATATCCTCGGGCCTAGAAGCCGTCGCGGCCCAGGATGCAATTACCGCTCGCATCGCCGCTGCGATCGAAGTGCGCGACCGTCTGATTGCAGGTGGCGCGACTCCGCAGCTACTGGGCGTGTTTTTCGAGAGGCTGGAGCCGGCAGTGTGGCTGGGTTTGCAAGCTAACATTTTCAACAGTCTCCTTGGTCGGGATGTGGGAGATGGTTCTCCAGCGTCCTCTGAGGCTGAGTCACCGGACGGGAAGGATGCTTCACCGAACAAAAGGCAAACACAGAATATTGAAGGAGACCAATTGAACCGGACCGCACACCCATTCCTTTCCCCAGCCAACGTAACTGTGAATTGGACACCGCAGAAACGTGACCTGGTCGTTTGGCTGGGCGGTCCTTTGTTGCTTACAGAAAGTGAGGCGCTCCGCGCGAGAGCTAAGCTTCCGGTGACCGAGGAAGCTTTTTTGCAAGGATCCGTTTTTGAATTGGTATTGGTGTCGCATTCAGATAACGGGGGTGGCACGCATTGGCTGAAAGTGGAGCACGTCGACAAACCCCTTGCGGATATGATAGGCGAAGACCTGCACCTGCAGCTCTCGCCGCAGAAGACAGAGGCATCCGCGGCTGCTCGTGGTTCAGGTTCGACCATGGCTGGAACGACCTCCACAGTGGGACTTTCTGTTTCGTCAGCAGCCTCTGTAAGTGGAAATAAGAACAATAAACCGTCTCACAGAAGCAAACGGTTTTTCTTAATCCCACCAACTTTTATCGAATCGCATCCCTTCGAAATCTGGCGCGGTAGGGAGCTGCTCTGCAGTTTAGGTGACTTAATTGCTATCGATTACGACCAGAAGAATAAGGCACAGGAAACACGTAAATACGCTGCGCGTTCGTCCATTGCCTCTTCGTCGCGGAACGCCGTGGCGGAGGAAACATTGACTGGCGTCACGGCTGCTAGCCGCGCTGGGAGTTTCACAAGTCCGCGACAGCCCGCGCGCGGCGGTGCTGTTGCGGCTGCTGTAGCTTCTTCCCGGAAGCAAGATGGCGACAGTGCGTGCCGTGGTACTAGTGATGACGTCGGCAAACGCTCATCCGCGGTGATTCACGAAACTGAGTACTCGTCGTTCCCCCATCAAAAGCTTACTGAAACACGCTCAGCGCTCGACCTTGAAGCTGCACATAAAAATCCAACGAGTGCTGAAATGGTTCGCTTGCTGCAAAGTGAACTCGACCGACGGCCGCAACTAACGGCGGGATCGTCTGCAGCTAGAACCTCGGCACTTCATGCGGTACCGAATAAGCGTCAAGCTACCTCCGGCAAGTCCTCCTCGATCAAAAAAACTAGGCAAAAGCAGCTTCTTGTGTTTCTACAAGACAACCAGGACCAGCCCACGATGGACAAAAAGGCGGCGTCCTCTTGGAGCATCACCCGCGTCTCATCGCTACCAGAAATGCAACTGTGGTTAGGTGAGGAACCAGACGACTTCAGCCTCTTCGTGATATTTGTTTCCGGAGCCGCGAAATTTTTGCACGAGGAGTTGCAGATGCTGACGCTGCGCCGCACAGCCGCTGGCGCTGGTGATAAAGATTCCGACAGCAGCACTTGGAGCTTTATTGCATCTAAACTCTTCTTACGAGCGGAAGAGAGCAAGAAGAAAAAGGAGTGCCAGCAACAGGCTGAAAAAGGGCTCAGTGAGTTGCTGACATGCGGCTTCGACGCGGTTGCGCGAAGTGGGGGGAGTGTGTTGGTGGTGAACGATAGAGAAATTATTGCTAGGTCTGAGAAAACAAAACCCGCGTTTGGAACTGCGCGTTCACAACTCGGTCGGGCGGAAGAAATCCTGCTGTCTGAGTTTGATAACCTTATCCTGTGCAAAAGTATCGCTATCGTATTCGTATTGCAGTCATGCAATACAAATCTTTTTCTTAAGGTGAATCAGCATTACAAATGTGATTTCTCATGCTGAGAAATTTGTAATGCATTCATACGAGTACGATAGGATACTTTTGCAATTCATAAACCTGTCGCACAAGCAATTGAACAAATGCGCGAGCGCTTCGGGTTGTGGAAACAAGGCCAAGCAGACCAAGAAGAAGAAAAAGAAAAACGATTCCTGCGCAGAAGCAGCTGTGAAGAGTTCTACTACTACGCGAAAGACGTCCCGAGAGCATGATTTTGATTTGCTCATGCCTATGCCCGAACAAGGAGAAACTCACAGCCAGACAAGTGCTTACGTCGCGCGTGTTCATGTGTACTTCTCTTGTGAAGTGCCTGCATCCGCGGAGTCAGAGCAGCCACAACAAGCACCAGCAGCGGGCTCAGCGGCAACGACTGAAAAATCCAGCTCGTTCACACCGAATCCAGACGTTCATTCTGAGATGGGAGTTAATGTTGTTGCTGCGGCCAAGACCCCAGGAAAAGTAAAGAACGCACTGCAGCACTGCGCACAAGAAAGGTGGTTGGCGCCTGCGTTCCCGCAAAAGGACCCAGGTTACACTGAAAAGAGCCAGAATGTGAGCGCCTGTCTTCAGAACGCAAGTAACAGTGAGTCACAGGACCAGGCAGCCGTTTCTGCTGATGGATGTTCGGGTTTGGTGGAGACCGTTGGTACAGCAGGTTTACCTCGTGCAGTTTCTGCAGTTGATACAGCACCGGGTAGTCTCTCCGTCGATGCTCGGGCTGGTTTTGAAGAACCGGAGCAACTCGAAGGACAGTACGACGGTGCAGCCAGAGGCGACACTGCGCCAACGGGTGCAGCTGGCCGAAGGAAATGCTCGGCGAGCGACGACGAGACGCATCACGATGAAAATCCATTCCGCCCTGCAGAACTACGCGGCGAGAAACACGCTCCCCGACAAGTACACGTCGGAAGTAGCGAGAAAATGTGTGCGAAAAAAAGTCCGCCATTGTGTACAGGAGAACAAAATGCAGAGCCTAGAGGAAAGATGAAGATCATGTCCGTAGTGACAACAACGACCTCAAGTGGCAGCACGAAAACAACCGCTTCTCCACTGTCGCCACGCAGCCTGCTGGAAAGCTGTAGTGGCACGACGGCTTCCTCGTCTGATCGTGATCACGATCGAGAAAGTGTTGACGCCTCGCTGCAACTCTCTAAAAGTAGAGGTGAAGCATCGTCCTCGTCCTCATCCTGCGTTACTACTCCCAATGAAAATGATTGCGCCGGCTCTTCGCGGCTTCCAAGCACGTTGGAGAGTGTGATGTCCTCACCGTGTGAGACTACAGGTGGAACCACGAGCGACACAAGGGTATCTGAAGCCGATGAACACACCAGTTGTACGTCTTCAGACCATGGCGCCCCGGCCCCGACTGGTGCTGCTGGCAAACCTAAAAAAGCGGTACGAGTACAAGCAGCGAACAAGAAAGCCACGGGTATAAAGCAGATAGTCGCAGTCGAAGTTGTTTCGTCTCCGCGTCCCAGCGGTGCTGCACCTGCGACCAGTTCAAGTGAGTCCAGCTGCAAGAAGGCACAGCATATTGAGTCCCTCCGAACAAGCAGTGGACTTTCTGCCGATCGAGCCACAAGTGACAGCAAAGTCGAGACAAAGATGAAGCTAGGTGTTGCCGAGGATCCGGCGGCTTCGTCGTTACTGACCCCCGCTCGACGACCAGCTCCTGCACAGGCGTGCAGCTCCCATTCAGAAAATTCTACCGCGAACAAGCTCTCTAGTGCGAAACAGAAACGACTCGAGCTGCTCCGACGATTCCAGGAGGAGCCGGCAGACGGAAATTTGACAAAATTTGCGGACCCAAGCTACAAGCCACCTGCTGTGTCGGAGGCGTCGCTTCCTACAGAGCCCAAAGCCAAAGTCACAGACACGAACATAACTAGGCCCTCGAAGGAAAAGGATGGCCCGGATGTCGGTGCAAACAGTTCGTCGCGGTTGATAGCAACTGCGCCTACGCCCCAGGAACGGCAGCGGAAGGAACCGGAACCGCCGAGCTCCTCGGGCCAGGTTACGACTTTAAATATCCCCAAAGAACATTCACTTTTGTATGCTGCCGCTTTGGTGCGAATCTTGGATGAGAAAGACAACCGTTGCGGAATCCTTGCTGTCCTGTGCCAAGACGAGCTACTGCAAAAAGTGAAGGCTATAGTCGATCCACTTGGGAAGCAGAAGCTTGGACGCGTTTTGATCCGCGTGATCGAACAGTGGCCCGACACTTTTCGTGTGGTCGATCCGGCCGGAAACAAATTCTGTGTCCGGTTGAGAAAGCATTCCGAACCCGAAGTCGACTGGTGGCGCAGAAAAGTTGACTTCGCTGCAACATTTAAGAAA